TATTTTTTACTTAGAAAATATATTGCTAAAATTAATTATTAAAATTTTATTATAAAAATTAATTTTAAAAAAATTAACACAAGCAAATTTGCCTGTGTTACAATCTAAGGGATAAGAAAAAAGAAGTACTAGTAGGAAATAGTAGTTAAAACATCTAAAACAGTACAAGTTGAATACTGGAATATCAAAAAGACAAAAAACAATATTAGAAAAATATAAAGATTGCAAATATAAAAACAACAATACTGGTAATAGTTATAGAAAAAAATACAAAAAAACAGGAAATTTATAGAATGATTACAAGATACACAAATAGAAAAAATGTATGACAACTAGAAATTAATACAAATATGTTAGATTTTATTATAAAAGAAAAAGATTACAAGATCTCAAATTCTGAAAAATATTTAAAAGAGATTTGTATAGAAAACAAAAATATTAAAATAATTAAGAAACAAAAAATTAGTAATAGTATTACAGAGTTATTAGTAGAAAAACATAAGCATATTAAAAAGAACAATATTAAGCAAGAAAAGTTAATTTTTTACACAGACAGATCATTAGTAAAAGAAAAAAAGAAAAATTAAGATTCAGACTATATAGGAGCTGATTGAGTATAAGTGAACAATAAAGAAAAGTATATAATAGATAAAGGTGCCATTAGGACTAGAGAATAGCCTTTTTCAACAAAGACAAAGCTACTAGCTATCTGGTATATAGTTATTATAGTACTAAGCAAAAGCAAAATTAAAATATATACAAATAGTACAGCAGCTATAGCAAGTATATACAACATATAATAACAAAAAAAAAGAATGAAAAGAAAAAATTATAACTTAGTTGTAAATATAGAAGATACAATACAAGCTAAAAAATTAGATTTAGAGTTGATAAAGATAAAAAGACATAGTGACAATAGGTGGAATAGCAGAGCAGATAGTGTAGCAAAAAAAGAGCAAATATACAAGATAAAAATAAAATTATAGAAAAACCTATCTCAAGATCTAATATAATACTTTTTTGAAAAGACAAAGTAGTAGAAAACCCAACATGAGACTTTGTTAAAGAAGTTCTTAATATTAAAAATAATGCAGATTGGAGCTATGCATCAGCAATTAAAAAACTAGAACTAGAAAAAAAGAAAAGTGAGTATTGTTAAATACTATTATAGAAAAAAAATCAAGAATCAGAATAGAACAAATGCATTTCAACTACAAGAAATAAAGACTAAATATATTCTTTAAATATATACAAGAAAAAATGCTTATATTTAAGAAATTAGTGATAAGACAACCAGACCTGTATACAGATATAAATTGTATAGTTTGTAAAGAAAAAAAAAAAAGACCAAAATCATTTAACAATATGCTTCTTTTATAAAAACTATTGAATAAAGGCAGAAACATTGGCAATAACAATAGCATAGAGCATACTTTCAGAAGAGAAAAAAAAGAATATTATTCAAATATAACTAAAAGAAGCAATCTGAAGCCAAACAGAAGAAGAAAGTGTAAAAGTAAGAAAAAAGCTTATTAAAGATCTTTTATAAGAAAAGTTAGTAAAGAGAATACAGAATATTTTGATCTTTGTACAAAAAACAAAAAATTTTTTAATGAATATAGTAGATATTATATGAAATAAGTTTTATAAAAAAATTTAAAAAGAAAGATGTAATAAAGTATCTGAATGAAAGAAAAATCAAAGAATTAGTACAAGAAAGAAAAAAAACAAAAATAAAGTAATAGAATAATAAAACAAAGTACCACACAAAGTTTTACTAAGATTAGAAGAAAAAAATTTTAAAAAAATAAAAAATATAAAAAAAAAAAGAAAACAAAAAATAAAAACATAGTAAACATATAGAAAAACACAGTTAGGAAATTAATTAGTAATAATAAGAGGCCTTACTGGAATGACTTTAAAGGCTAATCTAAATAACTCTTTAGTAGTGAGTGTAAACTCATTTTAATGTAACAGATCATCTTTAAGCACTAACACAATAATTAGAAAATGTCAAACCTAAAAATTAAGCTAATATTTGTATAATTACATATGCAATTCTTTTAATAAAAGATTTTGACAAGGCTGTCAAAAAGTTAAAAAAAAAATTATAAAGTATTTAATTTTATATTATAAAAAAAAAAATATATTGCTTATAAACTAAAAATAGATAAATTTAAAAAAAATTTTTGATCAAAAAAATTATTTATAAATTATTAATTTTAAATCTATAGTTCATAATACAATATTTTAATTTATATAAAAGATGTTAATTTTTATTAATACTTTTATAAAATGCAAAAATTTTTTTAGTTTCAAAAATATAAAATTTTAAAAAATCTTAAAAATTTTTTAATAATAAAAATTTTTAAATAAAATTTTTAAAATTTTAATATATAAAATTTATTAATATTTTTAAAAAATTTTTATAATAAAATTAATAAAATATGTTTTTAAGATTATATTTTATAAGCAAAATATATTTTATATTATTAATAAATTATTATTTTATTTAAAAATATTAAATACTTGATTTAAATCACAGATAAATTAGTCTAAGCTTTTATTTTTTCTATAATATTTTAAAAACAGAATTGTATTTTATGTAAAATCTCAATTAAATATTCAATAAAAATAAAAGCATAGCCTTACTATTAATATCAAAAAAACAATTATTAAATACAATTTAATTTTTTAAGCAAATTTGCCTGGAATATAGTTTAAGAGATAATATGTAAAAATCTTTTAATAATTTGTAATTTACAAATACTATCAATAAAAACTAAAATCAGTTTTAACTTTTATAATAATAATATTAACATGATCAATATCAATCTTGAATTTTATTGGTTAAGTAACATTGTCAGGATATAGTTAGAATCTACATAAACGCATAATTGTAAAAAACCTGTATACGTAGTATATTTTATTATAATACCTCATTAGACTTGATTACTTTATATATAAAAAAAAAATACCCCCAATGTGTCAAAATCTAGACTGATCGATGATTTTGTGTTTCAGGTCAAAAGTATGAACATATACAAAAAAAATGCTAATACGTAACTCAATGATAACTTGATACGTATAATCAAATGTCTTTAATGGCATAAGAGTGGCGTCAAATCAGACTTCGGGCTTTCAGAGACAATATGATACGTAAGTAGAGATGAGCAATGTGACAATTTAGCGTGTTGTTAGTTATAAGTAGTAAAAAATTGTCGCATATGATTTAATTTTTACATAATAAGTAATTATTTTGCCCATCTCCATATATAAGTAAATTCAATTACGATAAGATGTGTCGCCGTCAGGGCTGAATCCGGTAAATAATAAATACCATATGATGCCCCTGGGCGTTATTTCGAGATGATGTGGTAATAACTTGAGGTTTCCTTTGGCGTCGCTCTTGTATGGACATTCATGAACATTAAATAGTAATGTGACAAAACTAAGTTGAAGAATTCAGAAGCATATACAGTAAGATCTCTTTAAGTGCAACGCTATGTGAAAAATTTAGATAAATGTGTATTTAGAGAGATATAAGCGTTGTATTATTTGTGCATATGCATCACCATCCTGATTAACCAATCAGAGTGCGGGATCAGATGTAACGCGGTGATTATCTATGAAAAAATCCTTGCGAAATTTCAAGTTAGGGAGATCTTTCGATTTGCTTTCCTTGAACCTAACCTAACCTAACCTTAACCCGACTGCGTTTTCTAAAAAGAAAACTTAACTAGAGGGTTCCGGCGATGAATTACGTACAATTTCCCAATGCCTTAATGTTTGGGACCATGGTCGGAAATCTATAATCACGTGAAATGTCAATCATATAATTCAGCCATCTGCTCCAAATACTCCAAATACGCCAAATACGTACGTACGTATGTACTGGTACAAATAACAGCAAACCGATATCTTTTGTGAATTTATATCCTATAAAGAGAAATGCAATGGCAGCACTTGCAGGAGCTTGGATAGCTTTTATTATCATTATTGGAGTAAGTAGTTAATAAGGAATGCACTGGCACTTAAGTGTTCAATTTCTGTTCAATTTCCTCAACTTCATTCACTTCGACCATTGATGATATATTTTCTATTATTATTATAAGATTCTACTCGTCTTTAGCATTCTGTTCACAAAATATTACCAAGACCGTCGTGATAGTGAACCTTTAGCTACATTTGTTACGATTTGTTCCTTAACGCTGTGCTTAAGTGCAATAGCATTATTTCCTGTAGATATATTTTTAGTATCTTCAACGGTTAATTTAAATACTGGATTAAAGCATGATTGGGCTAAAGATCAAGTTCAAAATATTTTAAATCAAATAAATGCTGTTTATTATGGTAATATTAAATAAATTGGTTAAAAGTCGAATTTAAAGCCTAAACAATCATGGTGATTAATTAATTATTGCTGAATTATGATAGGAATGTATGGCCTGATTGCTATATTCTGTTCATTCGTGATTCCATTCGCTTATTTCTATTTTGAGGAATATGAAGAAGGTGAATCAAATCAACAGGTGAGTTTTCAATTTGTGTTTAGTTTAGCATTGGCAAAGAATGCACTATCTTATATATATTTATTATTTTTTTTTTTTTGTTTTATTATATGTAGCGCATTGCAGGTGCCTTAAAATACACAATCTTTTTTGTGGCGTTCATGTTGATTTGTTTCACAGTTGGAATTATTGCACAGCCTAAAGATAAAAAAATACCAGTTGATCTGGATTTTTTCAAAAAATTCTTGACTGGAAGTCGTAAGTTCATTAATCATATTTTCATGATTAACTTGTATTATATCATGTTAATAAATTATATTTGCATTTTTTGCTTAAGTTGGCGAAAACAGTATTTCTTTCATTATAGCTATTCTTATGGTGATTGGAATGATCATTTTTATCGTGTACACTGTAAGTCCACGTGATTTCCACATTTTCCCAACTATTTTTCATCTTTCTGTATTTAATGGTATTCGCTCATAATTTGTGAAAGGCCCCCGGACTATCATTACTTCCAATTAGAATGATAAAAGGAGCAGGCCAATCCGGTCCATCAGATTCTGAAATTGAGAGTCATCTCAGACTAAATCGTGAAAAACAAAGAGTTATAAACTCAAAATATCAAGGTTCCAATCAAACAATGAATAGAAAAGATACTGAACAGCTAGAACACTTGATCACTGAGGAAAAGTAAGATTATTATAATAAACTCAAGTTATTCGTTTAGCTTAACTAAGCAATACTTTCCTTCATGTCTCCAGAATATTGATGCGACGGTTGCGTGCGTATGAAGCAAGCAAGACAGGGATATTGAACAAGATTCTTATGATTTTCAGACCATTTGAAGTATGTCCATTCATCTAAAATTTTGACTATTATGTATTGTTTGTAATTCATAAAAAATTCATGCATTACACCTTATCCATTTACAGTTTTTGGGCGGCGTCTTGTTTTTATTATTGACTATAATGATCTTTCTTTCGATGTTTTTGACTTGGTAAGTATTGATGATATATCATTCACACTTAATATTCTAAACTCTAAATTTTATGCGATTCATCATTTTTAATTTAGTATTGACAAAATCAGGAATGCTGTCTGTGGAAGTGATTGTGGATACATAATTAATCATCCTGACATATTTAATCCCCTCAATTTTATTTTTGTTAACGCGTCATACGTATGCCACGTTTATATATTACGTCCTTGTATATACACCTTTATTAGTCTGTCTATTAACTATATCTTTTTTTTTTTTTTTAGTATTTTCCTCTTGATTACATTTTTATGGTTTTGCTTATTCTTTACTTTTTCATTAGCACTATAGTCGGTGTTGTATTTATAGGAATTCGATTCTTATGGATTACACTTTATAAAGTCCGTAAAAGTGCCACACCACCCCAGGGATTGCTTTTTGGCACATTGTTGTTAATGCTAAGTTTATTAGCGCTAAATTATACGATAACAATGGTTGTTGCACCGCAATATGCGCAGTTTGGAAGCCAGAAATACGTAAGCAATAAAATAAAATAAAAATAAATCTTATATAATTTTGCAGCTCGCACTTACAAATTTTCTTTTTTGTCACGCCTTTAGTGTAATTATATAGTCGATAATGTTCGGAATTGTACTGATTTTCCGAATTTGATTATTCCTTGCGATGTTACAGCACCAACAGGCAAATTTTAAGTTTTCCCATTTCCGTATTGTATAATAGATAAATTTGCTAACATTATTCTTATGCTCTTTTGATATAATCAGATATTTGCACACCTACTGCGATATCAACGTTCATTCAACGCATAACAGTAAATACACCATTCTTTGGTGTTGTATTTTACTATTCACAATGGGCATTTTTAATTGTATTAGCTCTTGGATTTGTTTATTCAACAATTAGGCCACAAAGTTATATATCTCTTGATGACTTCGATGATGAATTAGAAGAGAGTGAAAGATTATTGAATCCTAGTAGTTAGATGAATTGTATCAATGCAAAGCGGATAACTGTTGTAGAGCTATTTATGCTTGATTAACGTATATGTATCTTAATTATTATAACTATCGTATTTATTTAAATTTTATAGCAAATATTATAAATAACACTTATCGATGCCTGAGAATAAAAAACATTTTACATATTTATAGTCGTAAATCAATTCCATTAAATAATATCTGGTTGGTTCTAAACTTGTGTTTATTTTTTTGATATTTAAAATATTCAATTTTTGTACACAAGAATATTTAATTTTGTACAGAAAACACTCAATTTAGTATATATATACAGTACGGGACAGCTAAAGATATCCATTTTTTCATAATGCACTAAATTTGAAAAAAAAAATTTATAATAAAATGACAAAAATAAAATATTAACCAATCAAAATTCTTAAATTATATATATGCGCCCAAATTTTTAAAAAATATTTTAAAGGGAATTACTATTCGCACCATAGATTTTTGCTATTCGCACCATGGTAACTAGCTTTATGAAAATCCACTTATGGTGCGAATAGCAGTTCTTATTTTACATTGTAATGCCTTTTAACAAATTAACAATCTTTTTTTCAGACTTGTTATTAAAAAACAAATGAATTTTTATTTTAACTTGTTTTAAAAAAGTTATAATAATTAAAAAAAAATTGAATATTTTTAGTTGTTCTGTATTGTATATGTTTTGTCTCAAATAGTGTTTAAACTTTAAGATACTGATATTTAAAATAAGATTTTTTTTTTGAAATCATTTTATTCTTTCAAAAAAAATTTTTTTTTTAATATTAAAGGTAAGGCCATACTTTTAACTTTATTGAAATTCAATTGAAGTTTTTACAAAAAAAAGTTTGCTTTTAAATTACATATAAAGAATAAAGACAAACATAACTTTTAAAAAATTATTAAATACAATAGATTAGTGTTTTAAAAAGTTATTTAAGTTAAATTTAAAATAAAAGCTTGCATTAGATTCTATAGCCAAGCCTAATAGCAAATTTTTGCAAGTTGGGTCAAACTTAATAACAAAATTTTATAAATAAAAATCAAATTAAGTTAAATTTGTTATATAAGTTAAATGTTAAGAAAAAAGATCAAATTTATAAAAAATAAATTATATAAAGAATTAAGTTTATATTATAAAATTTAAAAAAAGACTAGTTGGTACTTCATGCATTTTGTGTTTTTTTTATAATAACTTAAAATTTTACTAAAGTAATTTCTGTTATATAACTAAGCAAAAATATTTTTATTGTAATTTTATTATATTCTAACTTTAATTGTAATTGTAATTCTATTTGTAGCCTAATCTTAATACTATTTAAAATGTTTTATAATATTTTAAAAATTTATCTAATTTTATTTATAATCTAACCTTAATACTATTTTGAAGTGTTTTATAATATTTCAAAATTTTACTAACCTAATTTTTGTTATATAACTAAAAAAAAATATTTTTTTTACAATTTTACTATATGCCAACTTTAGCTTTATTCTAATTTTAACTTAGCTTACTTTTTTTTTTGTTAAGATGACTTCTTTGATCTTTTGACTTTTATTAATGATTTTTTTAGTAATGTAATTTTATAAACCAATACAAAAAAAGTATACAATTAGTTACATATATAACTTTTTTATATTACTTATTTAAGAAGTCTGCTTAAAGGTTTACTACTAATTGTTATACTTAACATCTCTGTTTAGATGTTTTATTTTAAACCTTTTAAACCTACATCTGTATTAATATTATTAGATTATGTTCAGATTATTGTCTTAACTTTAGAACTATTTTATTTTCAAGATAAATCTTTTAAAATCTTTTGTATATATTTTTATAACTAACCTAGTATTACTATAACAGAATCAATACTTGTAGTCAAAACTAGCTATTAAACTGTTATGTTTTTGTAAAGTTTATTTAAACTTTAGTATTTATTTTATAATACAGCCCAATCTCTCTATAGTCATCTTCAATATAGTTACAATTTCACTATAGTTACATTTATAAATTTACTAACTTTTTTTATATTAGTTTTACTTCTATATAAGCACAATTATATTATAGTTACTATCATAATTTTTTGCTAACCATCTATATAAATTGATCTCTATATAGTCACATTATAATTATAAATATTTAAAATATTTGTTTCAATAAATATATCTTAAAAAATAAATTATTTTTATTATTTTTATTATTTTTTATTAAATAAAATTTTTTTTAATTGATTGATAATAGTTGCTTTATATAAAAATCAAAATTTTATAAAGTAAATCAATCTTTTCATATTAAGTAAAGTTGTTTAGAAGAAAAATTTACATATACTATAAAATTTTCATATTTTTTAAAAAATATTTTATTGATTAACTTTTACAATTTACATTTATATGAAAAAAATTTAAATTTTTTTGTAGAAATGTAAATTGTAAAAGTTAATTAGTAAAATATTTTTTAAAATATATGAAAATTTTATAGTATATATAAATTATTCTTCCGAACAACTTTACTTAATATGAAAAGATCGATTTACTTAATAAACATTTAACTTTTATATAGAGCAACTATTATCGATCAATCAAAAAATTTTTTAAAAAAAAAATTATTTATAAATTCTTTATATAATCACTAATTATTTTTTTTAATAGTGTTGTGATTATATAGAGATACCTCTATAATTGGCACACCTCTATATAATCATCAATTTCTGTATACCAAAGGTATAACTATAAAGAGGTTAGACTGTATATCTAAATTACTTTAGTATATTCTTAACTGTTTTTTAGACTTCTAATCTAAATAGTCTAATAGAACTATAACAAGTTTATTAGTATATTAGGACAATTTAATATCTTTTTCTTTTGGTCTATTTTGGTAACCTAGTTGATAATATTTTCAAAACTTTCAACTTAGAAGTTTTTATCTATCTAGATATTTTAACTTTGATATCTGTTTTTTAAGACTAGTTTTTATAATAGTGTCATTAAAAATTCATACTATCTTTCTACTCAGGTTTTTACAAATATATTTTTTGTTTTCTAATTTCAATAAATTTATAACTACAAGAATTTATCTAGAGTTTGTACTGCTTATTACTAGTTTGTATTTTTTTATATAATATCATACTTACACAGATGCCTTATGCCTTGTTATTCATTCTAATATAATAGTTATTACAGATATCTTAACCTAATTATTAGAAACAGTTGTCATAATATAAATATTATATAGGTAATTAACTAAATTTTTACTGTTTATAGAATTTAAACATTTAACCTATTACTTGAAAATTAATAACTTATTTACTTTACTAAGTTATCATATTCTTTTTAGTTTATTCTAATTTATATTATATACTTAATTTTATTATAAAAAATACAAAGTGTATAAAAATACTATTTAGAATTTTTTAAAATTTATATTAATTAAAAAAATATATAATTTTAAAATATTATACTATAAAATTTTTTAATATAACATTATTTTTTTATAAATAAAAAATATTTTTTAAAGAAATATAATAATTTAAAATAGGTAATAAATTATTAATTCTTAAGTAAGATATGAGCAAGGCCTATGACTCAGTTAATCTTGATCTTCTTAAATATTCTTTGCAGCATCTTGCTCTCCCTCCCACTATCATCAACACTATCACTAATCTACTTACTGATCGACAAAATCAAGTTATCACAAATCTTGGCCTTACTTCTTCATATTCTGTACTTAATGGTATCGATCAGGGAGAAACCATTACCCCTCTTCTATGGAGAATATACTATGACCCACTCATCTCATATATTTACAATAACTTTGATGGATACAACACTAAAGTTTCCTGGCCAACTAATCTTAAAAACCAAACATTTAACAAACTTGAATCTCACTGCTCTGTTC